AGAGAGAGAGAGAGAGAGAGAGAGAGAGAGAGAGAGAGAGAGAATTTGAATGTAAACTGTAGTGTGTGTGTACTGTTGAGCCTGACAGACCCCGTAAGTACCCGCATGCATCGATGAGCGTCGCCGCTCTTGGTTACCTTCCGTATTCGACTTGTGATACGCTAACTATTTCTCTTTATAATTTAAAAACTAAATTTCGGACGAATTTTTGCCAAAGGAAAAATCGACTCAGAATACCGCCAAGAATACGTCCCTTTAAGGACAAAAGGTTATTTTGAATCACCCTGTATATACTGGTAGGGTACGTGTTTTTGTCTATAAGTTCAGAGCATATATATATTATATATCTCGCAACTGGTTGAAGTTACAAGAAAGTTTAATAAGAGAAATTTGTACGATTCCGAGTCAGCTACAGAATGCACGCAAAATTTTTTTATATTCGTGGCTTTTTCGAGTTATGTAGGTTGACAGTCTTTTTTAAATGGAATTATAAATTTTTTTATACAATATGATTCCTCTAAATATTCTGCATAAGAAAATATTAAGATCATGGTACCGAAAAATCAATAGTTTACGAGATATTTTACACAGCTCGTATAGCACTTTATTTTGATACATATTGACATAAAATATTACATAATTGTAAACTATTGACTTTTAGGTTATCGTACCTTAATACTTTTGTGAACAGAATAATTAGAGGAATCATATTGTGTAAAAAAATTTTTATAATTCAAATCCATTTAAAAAAACTGTGTCAACCTACATAACTCGAAAAAGCCACGAGTATAAAAAAAATTTTGCGTTCATTTTATAGTTGACTTGGATTCGTACCTCTTATTAAACTTTCTTGTAACTTCAACCAGTTGCAAGACATATGCTCCGACATGTATGGACGAACACCCTGTATATAAGAAGTATGTATATATATACATATATATATAAGCGTTATATAATTAAAATACCAATTTTAGTAAATTCTAATACCACAATTGAATTTATATAAAATTTATATTAAAGAAGCAAGGTTATATAGTTAGATTAGGGATTCCAGGTTTCATTGATTTTTTAGTTGAATTCCACTGGAATTTTATTGATTATCAGTGAATA